CCCCAAAACCCCAAAACCCCAAAACCCCAAAACCCCAAAACCCCAATTGGGTGAGGAGAATAGAAAATAGTTAATAATCATCTGAATCGCTGAATCCGTACTTTTCTCTTAGTTTCTTCTTGGGATCAATCCTTGATGGGTCTTTTCCGTTAAGAAGAGATTCTTCCTTCTGTCTGTTCCTATCAGCTTCAAGGAGAGCTTCTACCTTTGCGTTGACCTTCTCTTGCTTCTTTGTTAACTTCTTAGGAGGTTGTCCAGCAAAGCCTTCTAGTTTTTCAAGAAGGCTAGGCTCCCTGTAATCACTCTCTCCATCTTTAATCGCCAATATTGGGGGCAATTTCAGGTCATCTCCTTTGGAATCTTTAATTTTTGACTGATCAATTTTAGATTGTTTAGAGAGTTTGCTGTATTCTAGAAACCTTTGCTCATCTCCCTGCACAGCGACAGCATGTCTGGAGGTAGCAAATGTCTGCTTCATATACCCCTTATTGGGTCTCTTAGAATGAACAATAACAGGATTCTTAATAATGCCCTTTAAGACCTTATACGCGCCAGGAAGATCGAGTGGGGTTTCATACTCAGTTTCGCTTTGGTTAAGGAGCAAGCCCATAGCTTGCTTCTTAAATTCATCCATTTTTGCTTTGCCATAGTCAATGTTTTCATCTTCAACTTCCTCGACCTCTTCGAACATGTTTCGATCTTGGACGGCTTTCTCGGCTTCTTGAATTTGGTTGTGATCTTCTTCATCGATACTTTCTTCAGAGTGGACTTCCTTAATGATGTTCTTTTGGTGCTCCTTATTTTCTTCCTGAGCCCCTTCAGGGTAAGCCCCTGTGTTATCACCAGTGATGAAGAAGTTGTTGCCTTCTTCTTCTTGTTCGATTTTAACGTCTCCTTCAGGCGGTGTGAAGACATTCTTTCCATCAGTTTGTTTTGGGAAAATTTCATTCTCTTGGTTAGTGTTAGGACGTATATCTGAGATTGGAAGAGCTTCCCATTTGTTCATCTCTGCTTTCCATAGGCCTTGCTTTAATGGGTTGTTCTTGTTATCTCCTCCTTTAGCATCCCGAGTTGCTAATGCAACTGGTTTTGGATAAGTCAGAGCCTTCATTCCGTCATCCTGAGGTCGGATCCTGAGCCTCTTTGCAAGCTTGCTGGACATTTCAGTCCTGTTAATAATAACAGCAGAAAGCTCTGCTGACAAGCAATGCTCCAGATCTGCGTATTCTTCCCTACCTCTTTGAGCAAATGGGTTGCCAGTGATAGCCAAAGTCAGAAGACTTTTTAAGTTTTGTCAATACATGAGATCGTTCTGGTCTTCCACGAGGTTATAGCTGAAGTCAAGCTCCTGTAAGGCCTTGAAGGAGTTCTGATCCAAGTCATCAAAATGAAAGCCGGTAAATTTGTTCCTTGATAAGTTTAGCCTCTTTAGCTTCGGCATGCTTCCAATTGATTTAAACAGTATTGAAGGTTTCACCAATGTTGAATCTGAGCTGAACTGATTAGATGACAAGTTTAGCTCTTCTACTGTAGAAAGGAAGGATAAGCTCTCAGGAAGGGTCACAAGGTCATTTGATGCCAAGTCTAGTAGATTTAGCTTAGGCAAATAACTCAAGGAAATTAAGTTATTCGCTGGAATGTTATTATAGCTCAAGTGTAGCTTCTCAAGCTGAGGGAACATCCCTTCTGTGAGATTAAGAGAGTTTATCTGGTTAAACTGGATATAAAGTTCCACCAAGTTTGTTAAATTAGCTAACTGCTCTATCTTAATCCTGTTATCAGATACATCTAAAAATGTTAGGTTTTGAAAATATCAGAGATCTTCTTCTACAACCTCAAGAATATTATGATCAACAAGTTTGGATCTGATTGCCTCATGTGGGAGCTTGACCATGCATGAATCTAATAGCAGGAAACCATCAAGGAGTTTACCCTGCTTGGGCTTAACTAAGACTCCAGCCATTGGGTCTGGCCTCCTTTTCTGTTTCTTTTGAAACCTAATCCCTTTCTTAGTCATAACGGGGTAAATGATATCGTCAATGGTGGTCTTGTTGATAGGAAATGCTCTATTTCTGTATCACTCTTTTTTGAGTCTTCTGACTTATAGACCTCTGGCTACGATTATGAGTGGTATGAGGTGCATCTCCTTTTTTCTGATGCACAATGTTCCTCTGCCTGGTTCCTTCCATAGAGTAATTATTTTCAGAAGACTCATTGTGCTTGTCAGGAGAATTCCAGTCAGCATTTTTAAGTTTCTCTATTGCCTCTTGTTCTGTCTCATTAGCTTCGGTTGGACCTAAGGCTTCTGAAGGAGGTTTCTCCACTTGCATGCTCATTTATTTTAATTCAAATATAATAATTATGAAGGGGTTTTGGGGTTTTGGGGTTTTGGGGTTTTGGGG